TTTTTTTTACAAAAAAATAACTCAACAATCACATTGTGAAACAGTAACAAGGTATTTTAAACAACTTGGTGTGATGAAATGTCAAGCCACAATGTACTGGTACTGCATGCTCTCAACTGTCACAGTACCTCTCTCTAACCAGGACTATCAAGGAGAGAAGAGTAAAGTCATAGAATTGAAGGTACCAACAAATTGTTGGGGAACCTAGAAAACATACTTGGCAATTAACCTGTGAAGGACTTTGGTTCCATCAAAAGAAGAAGTATTACTCCTAGACATTTTATTGCTACAGATATTATAGCTAAGCACAGGCTTCAATGTGCCATCTGGCTTCTCCTATCCCTAGCTCGACAGACATGAATTTTAACTTTTCTCTCTGCAGTTCAACCCATTTTGTTGTCAAAGTACAGGATAGACATGACATACACTTATTCAGTTGCTACATGACAATTTTAGAGGGAAAAGAAAAGTTTCCAAAAGTCACCTGAGTTTTGTCACTTCTAGGCAAAATAAGAAAGGGGTAGTTTGTAATGGTGTCCTTCAATGTCAAAGGTTCTGCTCCTTGCCGTACTGGCCCACCTAGTGATTTCATCCAGCTTATTGAGAGACCCCGGTCCAGTTCAACACCAAATAGCAGGCAGTATGTTCCAGGGACATCCGCAGTCATACCTCCCCCTTTAACAAGGTCACAAAGTGGTAACAGCATTATACAAACTACTGGTGGAAACACCATGAATGCAGCAGATCCACGGAATTCTCCAGTACATCAACAGCAACAATCTCCAGTGTCAACCACCCCGAGTAAAACAAGTCCACCTTCAGGAATAACATTGAACACCACTGTTCAGATTATTCAGGTAACTGAGACCATGGCCAAACATGGTATATGTATTGTTCTCATACTATTTTTGCAGTCTTGTATGTTTATTTTATTGAACATCTTACTTTCAACTATGGAAGTATCCCCACGCTTCCTGTTTTCTTCAGTAAGTGGATTGTACTGTAGAAATGCAAGAACCATAGGGTCTTGGAATATATTTGCATTAAGTGACATGTTTCACTTTCATATGGCCTAGTAAACCACATGAGAGGATAGACAAACTAAAGAGTAAATTAATATATTTTGAGTCAAAGATAAGTCTATGGATCACCAACCTTATTGTTAGCATTTTCTGTGAGCTGCTAAATTTTTGAATCTGATTTTATCACACATTTACAGGGCTCGAAAAATATTTGAACTCCACCTTGCCCATTGGGCAAGTAACTCTCAAATTTTTCTTGCCC